TGTGAGGTAGGTGGGGCTGAGAAAGCTCTGAGAGAACTGTGACTGACCCAAGGTCACCCAGCTGGCATCATGTGGAGGAGTGGGGAAATGAACCCGGTTCTCCAGATTAGAGTCTGCTGCTCTTAACTACTACACCAAACTGGCTCTCAGCTGTATAAAGGGACTTTCTTGGGCAGCTAGCCTCAGGGGCTGGCTGCCTAAGACAGCCACTTTTAATGGCTGATCCAGGTGGAGCAGTTTGCTCCATGTAGCTCAGCTGTTCCAAGGGGTTTTCTTGGGCAGCCAGTGCAAAAATGTGCTTTGTGCCTATCCTTAATCTTAAACTGGTAGAGCAGCACTTAGTTTAGTTCTGTTGGCTCAAAGGATGGTCTACACATTACGCTTATGTGGAAATATGTTCGTGAATTTTCTCTCTGTCATTCTCTGTAAAGAAGACAGAGATATTGGGAAGTTATTGGAGTATCACTATCGATATTGGGGGTTTTGGCCATTTTCCTCCTGCTCATTTTCTCAAGGGGTGGGGGTTGGGGCTGAGGGTACAGATTTACCCTCCTCAAGGAGGCTAATGGACACAATCCCTCTGAATAGTTCTGTAGACAGGGTATATGATTTGCATTTATATCTGATAATAAGTTCTATTGAAATTTTTAGTTAAGTGTACATTTCAGATGTTGAAAGATTTTTGTCCTTGAGAACTGCTGCTAATCAGAATAGACAGGGTATGGCTAGATGAAACAGTGGTCTAAGGCAGCTTCATATGTACTGTATTGTTTGTTATTTTGGCCCTTCTTGGGTGGAAAAGATTTTGCCACTGTGGTGCATGCCCTGGTAACATCTAGATTAGATTACTGCAATGCATTCTATGTAGGGGCTGCCCTTGAAGACTGTCCGGAAGTGCAGCTGGTACAGAATGCTGTGGCCAGAGTGTTGACTGGGTGGGTTGAAGGAACCGTATCACTCCAGTCTAGTTCCACCTGTACTGGCTTCACTTCCAATTTGCTACCCGTTGTTGGTATCGACTTTCAAAGCCCTGTACCCCATTTGGGACTAACATACCACCTTCTCCCAGATGAAACTACTCACTCCAGTCATCCTTGAAGGCCCTGCTTCAGTTGACCCACTATCTGAGGCTATATGGGTGGTGACCCAAGAAATGTCCTTCTTGGTTGTGGCAACAAAACTTTGCAACTCCCTCCCCTGGAAGAATAGTCTGCCTCTCTGTATTGGTGTCTTCTGCCAATGGGTGAAGACTTTTGTTTTGCCTTTCATACCACCAATAATGTTTGTTGTGTTGTTTGTTTGTGTGTTTCTAATTGAATTTTAGAATTTTGACTGTATTTTTAATTGTTTAAATGCTTTAATGCTTTAATGTTTTATGTTCACCATCTTGTGGAAAGGTGGCTTAAAAATGTTTTAAATAAGCAACTAAAGTGTGTCCTGTATGGCAGATGAGATATCTTGGTTCTAGACAAGTGTATGGATGATATATTTGTGTTTATAGCCTTCATTTCTCATATGTGGTAAGAAAAAGGCTCCAATCTTCATATCCTCTTGGTTATCAGTGATTGCCATATCAACTGACAGGATGTTCGTATATGTTAGTGGATGGGCTTTGTTTCTGGCCAGAGAGTCTAATTGCAAATGGGGATTGGGAAATTAATTTTCTGTTCAGGTGATATGAGACTGGGGGTGGGGGGGATAGCCTTCTTTCCCTTGTAGCATATAGATTGGTTTACTATCCTGAGTTATCATCTGAAACTACTTCCTGTCCAAGCTTTCTCTCAGTGTAGCTTATTATAGAATTGATATGAATTAGTACTACCTGAAATAGGCAGTCCAAGTTAGCAAAGCCTTTCCATGAAAAAGATTTAAAATAAAAAGCTACAAAAGGGGTGGTGGTGCTATTTCAGCAAGGACAGGATAACATGCAATGAAAAACAATAATTTTTGCCTCCTTCAGAAATGGGAGACGCACATGCCACTTTAAAGGACGTGATTGCGGTAAGGTGAACATAATCAGTTCCTCTTAGCAAATCACAGCACATGATATTTAAGAAATCTTGAACCATGCCGTATTTTTGGTTACTGCCAATTATATGGGTTTTGTCTTTGGATTGCTTTGCAGTAGCATAATTGGATCCTCCATTTAGATCCAGAATTTGATTTCTTTCAAATAATTTCTAAAAAAGACCGGTGAAGCTTCCTTGGATCATATCCTAGAAAAGAACTTATAGCAGGGGTGTCAAACATATGGCCTGTGGGCCAGAACTGACCCCTCTAGGGCTCTTACCTGGCCCACCAGCAACTGGTCATTACCTTTATTGCCAGAGGATAGAGGCTGTGCATTGTGTCCCTATATACTGTCCCAATAATGGGTGGTGGAAGTGGAAGGTTGGGCATCAGGGAGATACTTTAAGAAAATACTGTAAGATACTGTTAATGTCTTAAGCGTGTTTGTATTTTGAATAAAAATAATATAATTAATTGGGTTTGCCTGTGTCCTTTATAAAGTTTATATGTCCTGTACCTGGCATTATGTGTTATGGCACACATGGCCCAGCCCAACAAAGTGACATTTATGTCAGATCTGGCCCTCATAACAAATGAGCTTGACACCTCTGACTTATAGCAACTAGTATGATAAAAGCATGGCCGTATTTTTTATTTTTGTGGTTATTCATTATGTAATATTTAGTAATTTTATGTAATATTATGTAATATTGAGAGCCAGTTTGGTATAGTGGTTAAATGTGTGGACTCTAATCTGGGAGAACCGGGTTTGATTCCCCACTCCTCCACTTGCAGCTGCTGGATGACTGTGGCCAAGTCATAGTTCTGACAAGAGCTATCCTTGAAAGGGCAGTTCTCTAAAGAGCTCTCTCAGCTCCACCTACCTCACATTGTCTGTTGTGGGGAAGAGAAGGGAAAGGAGTTTGTAAGCCGCTCTGAGACTCCGAGTGAAGGGTGGAGTATAAATCCAAACTCCTCCTCCTCCTCCTGTCTTGTATTTCAGTTCTTTAATAGTTTCATTCCAAAGGTTGAGAACTTTTGACAGTGTGGCTCTTTGCATTTAATTATTTACAGTGTAGCAGCAAATCTATTTGCTTACAGTACTTATCACTTGTATTTTTGGGCATGTTGGCATTTTTAGTTTTAGCTTTAGGCTGAATAATAGAGCACTTGTGACTGAATTAAAAAAAAGTACTAAAGTTTAGCAAAGTGAAGCTTTTAATTAAAAAAAAATCCTTTGAATGTATCTAGTCTTCCTATTAATTTTGGAGCTTTCTTCACAGTTTAATATTTACTACCAAATTCACATTAAAAGAAATAACTAATAGAAAATATTTAATATCAACAGCAATCTTACAGTTTCTGTATTAGTTTTAAAGTATTTCTATAATAAAAGGAAATATAACAACAAACCAATAAATTAACAGGGTGACTTAAAGTATACATTGCTTTAAAATGCCAATATGTCTCTCTCTGATTCCCCTGTCAAATTTTCTATATCCTAAATGACCACTGTTATAGGAGTTTCATTAGTTTAGGTAATGAGCTGATAAACTTTAGGAAAAAAGTCAGGTTTAGCAATACCTTTTATTTATTTAAAACATTTTTATGCCATCTTTCCATCTGATCAAGTTGCACAGGGTGGCGAACATAAAAACATTAATCCATTTGAGCAACTAAAATAAGTTAAAATTATAAACTGATTTAATTTGAAACACATAAACAACTTTAGAAGGCGGACCAGTAACCATCATTGGGTGTATGCCAGATGAAACAAAAAGTTTTATGTAGTCTACTCTTCTTACATGGTACATGTTTCTCTATGATCATCCTGTTTATATTCTTTGAAAGCAAACAGGAAGATGCAGGAAAAATAAATGCATTTGTAGTATGAATGAGATTTTGTAGGAGTTTTTCCCCTGTACCCCTTAAGGAAAATCTAGAAATATTAAATATGTTTTACTAACTTTAGTTCTTAAATATGTTTTAGCTTTTAAAATCTTTTTAAAGGCATGGTATGAAATCATTCTAAATAGCAAGCATTTTATTTATTTCACTGTTAGCTGTATAAATGCATATATAGTTTGGTATTTAGAATTGCATAGATAAAATAGCATTAACAGTTTAAATAGCTAGCTTAAAGTATGTAGGGCTCAATTTAGCTGAACCAAAGCAGTTTTAATCCCATTGAAGTCAATAGGAAAGTCTTAAGCTTTTGCAGCATAGGATGGGGAGGATAATTACCTTGCTGATCTCTTAACCATGATTAATGAACTGGAAACAGGCCATGGATTTGTGCCATTCCCTCCTACTCTGGCATAAATGTTCCCTTCCTTTCTCTTATCTGCACTAAGAATAGTATGATGTTTTGTTTATACTGATGATAGCTATGGTTAGTATTAACCAAACTTAGCTGTTGTTCAGGGTTTGGAGGGATATGGCTTTGAGGTGATCTGAGGGCTGCCACCAGTTCAAGAAATTCTTTTTTCATCTAGGGATACCAGCCTACTGGTGGGGCCTGGGGTTCTCTGGGAATTACAAATGATCACCATTTCCCTGGAGGAAATGGTAGCTTTAGAAGGCAGAATCCATGTCATCACAACTCTGTCCTCCCCAGGTGCCACCCTTAAATCTTCAGGAGTTTCCCAAGCCTGAGCAAGCAGCCCTATTTTCAAACCAAGTTCAGCATTGTGAGGGTGTAAAAAGGCAATAGCTTTGTCTCTGGCCTAAGTCCTGTCATAGAATTATAGAGTTGGAAGGGGCCATACAGACCATCTAGTTCAACCCCATCCTGTCCAATGCAGAACCAGCCTAAAGCATCTCTGACAAATATTCATCCAGCCTCCTGTCCTGTGTTCTGTGCCTCTTGCCCCCTACCCTTTATTCAGTGCTTGAAAATTTTGTTTTGGTAATTCCGTATGTGATAGAAATCACAACTTTTTGCTAAATGCAGATCAGTAACATTTGCTTCTTTTTGTGTTTTCGTTTAGGGCTTGATGACTGCCTGCAGCAGTATATCAAAAATTTTGAAAGAGAGAAGATTGGTGGGGACCAATTACTACGTATCACTCACCAGGAACTGGAGGATCTGGGAGTTACTCGAATTGGGCATCAAGAACTTATCTTAGAAGCAGTTGATTTGCTCTGTGCTTTGGTAAGCTCCTATGGGATAGATGGGAAGAAGCAGATGGGATGTTCTGAAATGATAAAACTTGGGAACTGCATAATCATATGAAATGTAGCTGGTAAAATGCATTGCAATATGAGCATCAGCACTAGAAAGGTAAGTATTTTTAACCATAATACATATACCTTTGTTTTGTATTTTCCCAAACAGAAATAGTTATTCCCAAACTGAAAATGACTGTTTTGCAGATGTATCTTTTCTCAAGCTAGGAATGACAATTTGCTTCTATGGCACCCCCTCCTCTTCCCCCCATCCCCTCAGAGGCATGATTTTCTCTCTGTTTTTCTTTCCCTTTTGTGACTGAGCCACCCTAGTTGTCTGTTTTCTTCTTTCCTGAAGAATTCTGGCTGTCCCACCCAGTCACAGTATGATATTTTGGCTTTTGGCCCCGCCCAGGAACCTGAGGGAAGGATCACAAGCTCACTTTAACTTATACAACTTAAATGGCACTCGAGAAGTTTTTATATTTCAAATTAAAAGTGGAAAGTGGATTGAAAGTGGATTATTTAGTGTGTGTGACCACAGCCATAGAGGGGAAAGGTCAGGTGAAATTAGGGGTAAAATTTCTGAGGTAAAATCAGTATATGCATAGACTTTAGTTCTTATGTTTCAGGCTAATGAGAGTTTCTTAAGCTATTCACAGTTACTTATATCTTATATGTTGAGAGGCTTTTGTTCCAGTGCTTACCCAAACACTCTAGTACACTTTCTTTGAGTATTCTCTGACCCTTTTGGTTTCCAGAAGGCTGGTACACTCTTGCCAGTAACCAGACCCCTTCTCTTGAAACACCAGTACTCATCTTGAGTGTTTTAACTGACTCTTAAGGTTTCTAAAGGCAGTTTCTAACCACACCGGACCAGGGATCTCTGCACTCTTCATAGTAAACTCCCTGTTTGACTGGGTAGGGAATTTCTCTCTCTCCCTCTCTCTCCCTCTCTCCCTCTCTCCCTCTCTCCCTCTCTCCCTCTCTCTCTCTCTGATCTGTTCCCTTTCCTTGGCCCAAATGGGAGTCTTTGCCTACTTCCCAGACTTCCTTGCCAACTTTCCCCCTGTTCTCTGTGTTAAACTGCTCTCAGCTAAGGCTGAAATGAGACTGAATTCTCATCAGCATCCAGTTCAGAATTCTTTCTCTGTCCAGCTGATGCTAACCAATTAGATTCCTTGGAGCAGCCTGGCACTCAAGGCTCTCTGGCTCTGTGAGGAATTAACCCTTCACAGTCCTTCACTTGTTTGTACAGCACTTCTAAGCTTTTAAAAAGTGCAGTCTGTCACAGCTTCATAGATATTTTTATGACCATTAACTTTTGTAAACAAAATGATTTCTCAAATAAATTAACAGGGAACACTGACTAGATATCCCCTTTGAACTTTCAGTCTGATTCTAGCCATCTGCTTTTACATATGGTTAATGCTTTTTAATATATTAAAACAAAATTTTGTGAGATGGCTGCGTAAGGTGGTGACGTAACTAAAGTGATCTTGAAATCAATCTCATAAAATATTTCATTATTTGCAAATACCCATTCCTTTTTTTGCTGTCGTCACAGCTGACTTATGGCGACCCCTGGTGGGGTTTTCAAGGCAAGAGGTGTTTAGAGATGGTTTGCCATTGCCTGCCTCCATGTCAAGACCCTTGGACCCATGTCAGGATATGCCTTGGAGATCTCCTATCCAAATACCAGCCAGGACCAACCCTGCTTAGCTTCTGAGATCTGATGAGATCAGGTTAGCTTGGGTTATCCAGGCATTCTTAGTTTTCTAAAATTGCATACTTATTGGGGAGGCTAGTTGAGCACCATGGGAATTAGGCTGTGGCTTCCAGAAGACTCAGTGTTAGCTTTGATGACACTTAAACTCTGTTTGAAGCCACTGGGAGGGATAATGCAGAAATTTGAAGTTGGATGTTATCATTACTATATTGGCACCCAGTTCTAGATTTTATTCTGTGAGCATTCAATAATTGTCTAGATCCCAAACAGGTGCTCAGGTGCCATGATTAAATAGTTAATATAAACAAAAATTGAATTCAGGCATGAAAGATATGATGGTAGTGTATATTCCTGTTTTCCATATAAACAGGTGGCAGTAATGTTTGGGAGTGCCTTACACCATTTTTTTACAGTAACAGGGAACCTTGAGGCCATTGTCAACTAGAATTTTCTCCAGGTGACCAGCTGATGACTCAGAGTCCAATTTGTAGCACATTCTTCAGCAGCATGATTCTGACCCAGTTAACATGGCCAGTTGATCACTGATTGAATTCTTGCCAATTACTAAACCATGTCAGTGCTTAAGCACAAGAAACCTCCATATGTTCCTTCTGCAAAGAGCTTTGTCGTGAACTCTAATGAGGTGTTCGCAATTTCAAAAGCTGCAGCAAAAAACCTGCAGTTGCTTTAGGAGGAGGTAGATTTTCTTCAGATTGTTTCAGGGCAGTGTTGCTTATAGTTACTCTGGTCTGAGATAGTCTATTGCATCACATGATTTTTTTTTACTGAGACCTGAAGTTCTAAGAAATGCAGCTCAAATTAAAGGGATGTGGGACACGAGTGGACATATGGAAGTTCACATGCAAATCCCTTTATAGTTGTTCTGTGTTAATATTATTTATAAAATTAACACAAATATTATTAAAAATAGGTGCCAGTATAGGCAAAATAATTTTTGCTTAGTTTTGGTTAGGGTCAGTGAAGGTGAAGTAATAATTAATGGTGCTGATTTGATATGCTCTTTTGTGCTTCTTTGAAGTTATATCAAACCCAAGTATTTTTCCTTTTTGGGTTTTATAATTTTTTAAAACTCTGGTCTTTTAAATCCTATATTTTTAACTTCTGTGGTTAAAAATTCACATGAGAGGCTAGTTAACTTTTGGTAACTTTTGTGAATTTATTTGCACAGCTGATTTATATTTATTCTGCTGCTAATTATAAGATGGGTTATCATGCTCATATATATATATGAGCAGGTATATAAGCAAGTAAGTTAATAAATATTTTCGAGAGCTCATAATTTTGGAAGACTCATTTTATTTATTGATTGGTTGGTGTACCGACCGCCTAACACCCCGGCCAGTAGCCTGCCATCCCTGCTGGAGGCCGTATCGGGCTGGGCGTTGGAGCACCCTAGACTGGTAGTCTTGGGTGATTTCAACGTCCATGCCAATGACGCGGCCTCCAGTCAGGCTACGGACCTAGTGTCATCCATGGCGGCACTGGGACTCTCTCAATCGGTATCGGCCCCCACACATCGGGCCGGTCACACGCTCGATTTGATCTTCACGGCGGCCCGTCTGAATGTTCCATCCCGACCCCGTTTAGGCGGCGAGCAGATTTTAGCTCACCCGCGGAGCCTAATGGACCCTATGAGGTTCCAGATGGCCCTGCAGGATCCGAGGCCACCTGGCGGCTCGTTGGATGAGCTTGTGGAGGACTGGCATGGCCGGCTCTCCACAGCCATCAACAAGATCCACACTCGCTCTAGGCGGGCACCCTGGTATACCCAGGAGTGGCGGCAGCTGAAGCGAGAACTGAGACGGCTAGAGAGATAGTGGCACCGTGTTCGCAATGAGGTGTCAAGGGCATCTTATAGGACATTTATGAGCGCCTATGAGATGGCAGTCAAGGCCGCAAAGAGAGATTTCTATGCAACCATGATTGCATCTGCGAGCTCACACCCGGCCCAATTATTTAGTACGATTTGGTCTTTAACAGCTCTGCCACAGGGCAGGCAAAACATTAGGGAATTGGATATTGGCTGTGAGGCATTGCGAGCTATTTTGCAGATAAAGTCTTGGCACTCCACCGTGACCTCCCCGCTACAGTTGAAACAGTGAGTGAACTCGAGGCCTCTTGCATGTCCTCGGTTCCAGGCTTGGAGTGTTTTAGCCTAATCAACCTGGAGGAAGTTGACAGACTGCTCGTATCTGGACGTCCAACCACATGCAGCCTTGATCCATGCCCCTCCTGGCTCATTAAAGTGGGCCACGAGGGGTTTTGAGGTGCCCTAAGGGAGATTATCAACAAGTCCCTCTCAGAGGGACGGTTCCCAGGGGCACTCAAGGAAGCGATGGTCCGCTCTCTCTTGAAAAAACCATCTCTGGACCTGGCCGAATTGGCCAACTATAGGCCGGTGTCCAATTTGCCCTATTTGGGCAAACTTATTTAGAGGGTGGTGGCGTTACAACTACAGAGCTTTCTGGATGATGCTTCTATTCTAGATCCTTTCTAGTCCGGTTACCACCCAGGTCATGGGACGGAGACAGTGCTGGTCGCTCTTACTGATGACCTCCGAAGGCATCTGGATTGAGATGGTGTGGCAGCACTGTTGTTGTTAGATCTGTCAGCCGCGTTCGATACGGTCAACCACCAGTTGCTGGCCCACTGCCTCGCCAACATGGGGATTCAGGGGCTCACCCTGCAATGGTTTGCCTCTTTTCTCCAAGGTCGGGGACAAAGGGTGGCGATAGGGGATCAGCAGTCCCGGAGACATCCTCTTGAATGTGGGGTGCCTCAGGGGGCAGTGCTGTCCCCGATGTTGTTTAATATCTATATGCGCCTCTTTGCCCAGATTGCCTGGAGATATGGGCTTGGATGCCATCAATGTGCAAATGACACCCAGCTCTATCTGATGTTGGACGGTCAGTCAGACTCCAACCCAGATGATCTTCACTGGACATTGCAAGCTGTGGCTTGTTGGCTCAGACTGAGTCGGCTGAAACTAAACTTGGCGAAGACAGAGGTCCTGGGCCTGAGTCGGGTCGGTTCGAGGTTGGGGCTTCCTCTCCCAACCTTCGATGGGGCACCTCTTGTGCCAGCATCTGAGGTTAGGAGTTTGGGAGTTCTCCTGGACTCCTCTTTAACGATGGAGGCCCAGGTGGCAGCCACTGCCAAGTCGGCCTTTTACCATTTCCGGCTGGCGCGGCAGTTGGTTCCCTTCCTTGAATGCGATGACCTGGCCACAGTGATCC